GTTTGTGTTCTAAAAATAATTGGTAGCCCATTCTTCGTTCGTTAGTGGTAAAGGAGACGACAGTACTGTCAAGGCATCAACTTCCTGACTGACGACAACAAAAACGGCATTCATTAGCGCCAAACCTCCAGAGTAAGTTACGACAGGTCAACCAATCACCTCTGGTACTTGAGATGACTTGACCTTGACCTGCCGTGTGCCTTCTCCGCGACGTGCATACCTCTGGAGGGATTTGGAGAAGTTTCAACAAAAACCTCCAAAACACGCTATTTATAACACCATTCATACACTAAGCACTGACGCTTCGATGTTCTCATCTATTTGCGGGAAATGGTCGACAAGGAAAACCCTACGTAATAACCCTGTTAACAACAGATTTTCCCAAGTATATATTTCAAGCTAGTGAGGTTTAAAATCTATCGATTAACTACCATAAGTTGGTTGAGTGTTGGTGGTAAAAAAAGAAGATATAACTTCCTGATCAATTTTCACTTAGGTTGATTCAATTTTGAATAAGCTTTGCAGATATGTATTTTTTCAAGAAATATTTAGCTTTAATATTATCCCAAGCCGTCAAAGTCAGCGACGAGTAATGAAATGGGAATAATTTTCTGAAACGTGATTTTATTCCAGATTTGCTTAGGGAGAAGACAACTTTCTGTCCGTAGAGCATGAATAATAATACTTATCACAAGACAGTGTCTTATTGATCTCAATTATGGTACATGTAAATATGTTTAATTTTTATGTTCAATTAAAATGTTGCTTAACTTGCAGATGTTATTATCATTCAATAATATTAAAATGACATAAAGTATTTATGATGAACAGTCCTAGAATATTTTGATAAGGAACCGTCAGTTGTAAAATGGTATTATGATCTTATAATGAACAGTCGTCCTACCTACTGGTATGTCATTTATAAATGGTTTTTAGGTTTTTCAAAATTTGCATGATTAACAGTCCGAATGTAGACCTCAATGGAATGTTCTGGAATATTAACAAAATGAATAGTCAACCATATTAACCATATTTATGAATGGTTGAACGATAAATGGCGCAATGTGCATATCTTCTTATTTAACAGCACATTTTAAGCAAAAAGAAAAGAAACTATAAGTCTGAAACATTCTGTCATAGCCTCCCCATCAGTACATTCAGTGCTTTAATTTACTTTCAAATTGCATTAATAATTAGCTCTAAAATGATCTTCTCTTTTCCAGATACGAATGGAATTTGAGTAATTAATGAAATGAAAGTATCTCTACTATTCTTTGAATGATAAAACTAAAACAGGAACGTTAATTGACTTTTGTACAATGGTAAAACTGTTTGAGTGCTATTTATATATATTATTATAGATTTAAATTTATTAATTAGGCTAAGGTAATGTTTATACTATGAACTAGCTATTTTGACAAATAAAACAGACCATCAGCTCAATACATACAGTTGAAACCATCTTTTGTTATAAATCATTAGATAATTTTTGTGTTATAAATTGAAAACAGAAGTTCCGAATCTAAAAATTGTTTAGAATTTGTTTAGAATGATCATACATACAAACATAATTATGAAAACAGAAGTTCCGAATCTAAAAATTGTTTAGAATTTGTTTAGAATGATCATACATACAAACATAATTATGAAAACAGAAGTTCCGAATCTAAAAATTGTTTAGAATTTGTTTAGAATGATCATACATACAAAAATAATTATGAAATTAACAAAACTGTTACAACAACTTGATACAATATGAACATGTTGTCAAATATAACTGTAAACATAAATGCATGTTATCAATTTACAGACTACAACAATCCAGAAATTAATATTACAATATTTCTAGAAACATATTCATATTAAATATAAAAAATAAATTAACAAAAAACAAACAAGAGGTCCATGATTGCCCAAGTAATGCTCACCTGAATATGAATATTCTCCATGACAAGGAACAAGTAATATTGTTAAATAGAAATAAAAGCAGATATAAAATCTGTATCTTAAACTGATATCACAAAGTTCATATTTGTATCTGAAATTGTGAAAATGTAAAATGTTGACTGGTTGGGAAAACAACAGTTCCATAAGATGTCACTGTTTGCTATACGAAATAAATGGATTCCTTGGAAGTCGATGCCTGCTATGAAATTTAATGGTAGATTCACTTGTTGCTATGGAAAGTTAATGTTTGCTGGTTGCTATGAAAAGTCAATGGCTGCTACGAAATGACTGGCTGCTATGGAAACAAGCAAATTCGTTGAATTTATATCCCCCGCCGAGTAATGGTTATTATTAACACAACAACTGAAGACATAACGCTTTATTTCTATATTAATCATGGCATAAACAGTAATTCTTTGAACTTAATAAATATTCAGGGCAATAACAGAGCCATAACTTTGTGTTAAATAGTAATATCTGGAAATGCCAATGAGATGTATGCATACTACATAACTAATAAAGGGCCATAAATCTGAGTTATAAGTATCTATCTGGAACAAGGCCACTATATGCTCATCTCCTCTTAGTATCCCATAAAGTTTCATTGAATTCCAGCCAGTAGTTACAGAGAAGTAGCACGGAAATGATTATTGCTCTGGTTGTATACTGCCTAAGTTATCAAGGGTCATAACTCTAACTTAAAATGTCTGACCTGAACAAGGCGACAATATGCGCATCTCCTCTTGGTATTGAAGGTTCCAATAAAGTTTCATTGAATTCCAGCCAGTAGTTGCAGAGAAATAGTGAGGAAACAAATATTTTTCTATATGGATACTGCATAACTAATCAAGGGCCATAACTCTGTGTTAAAAAGTCTGACCCCAACAAGGCAATGATATGCGCATCTTCTGTTGGTATTGAAGGTTCTCATAAAGTTTCATTGAATTCCAGCCAGTAGTTGCAGAGAAGTAGCGTGGTAACAATATTTGCTCTATATGCATACTGCATAACTAATCAAGGGCCATAATTCTGAGTTTAAGTGTCTGACCGGAACAAGGCAACGATATGCATATCTCCTATTGATATTGAAGGTTCCCATAAAGTTTTGTTGAATTCCAGCCATGAGTTGCAGAGAAGTAGCGCAGAAACAATTTTTTCTCTATATGCATACTGCATAACTAATCAAGGGCCATAATTCTGAGTTTAAGTGTCTGACCGGAACAAGGCAACGATATGCATATCTCCTATTGATATTGAAGGTTCCCATAAAGTTTTGTTGAATTCCAGCCATGAGTTGCAGAGAAGTAGCGCAGAAACAATTTTTTCTCCATATGCATACTGCATAACTAATCAAGGGCCATAACTCTGAGTTAAAGTGTCTGACCGGAATAAGGCAACGATATGCGCATCTCCTCTTGGTATTGAAGATTCCCATAAAGTTTCGTTGAATTTCAGCCAGTAGTTGCAGAGAAGTACCGCGGAAACGATTTTTTACTCTATATGCATACTGCATAACTAATCAAGGGCCATAACTCTGAGTTAATGTGTCTGACCGGAACAAGCCGATGATATGTGCATCTCCTCTTGGTATTGAAGGTTCCCATAAAGTTTCATTGAATTCCAGCCAGTAGTTACAGAGAAGTAGCGCGGAAACAAATTTTACTCCATATGCATACTGCATAACTAATCAAGGGCCATAACTCTCAGTTTAAGTGTCTGACCGGAACAAGCCGACGATATGCGCATCTCCTATTGGTATTGAAGGTTCCCATAAAGTTTCGTTGAATTCTAGGCAGTAGTTGCAGAGAAGTAGTGCGGAAACAATTTTTACTCTATATGCATACTACATAACTAATCAAGGGCCATAACTCTGAGTTAAAGGGTCTGACCGGAACAAGCTGACGATATGTGCATCTCCTCTTGATATTGATGATTCCCATAAAGCTTCGTTGAATTCCAGCCAGTAGTTGCAGAGAACTACTCCGGAAACGAAATTCGGATGGACGGACGGACGGACAACGCCAAAACTATATCCCCTCCCGATTCCATCGGCGGGGGATAATAAGCTTCAGCTCTTGTAGATTTAGAGAAGAAATTATTTTATTTACTATACACATACATGTATTGAGCCCTGGGATGGGACAATTTTGACCACAGGGCTTTCATATGAACAATATGGAAAGCCTCGACTTTCATATGAACAATATGGAAAGCCTTGACTGTCTTATAATTATAAACCTAAACATTTTTAGGCATAATAGCAATATATTAAGTCAACCTTTCCTGATACAATGTAAACCATGAATATATTATGTGGAACCATCCTGATCTATAGTCAATTGAACAATATACAAGATGTTAATGTGTCTTTATATGATGTCAATATATCATTATACGATATGCATTTTTGAATATATTATGTGGAATTGACATTATATAAGGTCAAAATAAGTATATATTATGTCAATATGTCCTTATATGATGTCAGTCTGTCATTATAAGATGTGAAGTTATGAATATATTAGAGTCAACTTAGCAATATATGATGTAAATGTGTCATTATATGATGCCAATCGTTCATTATACGATGTGCATTAATGAATATGTTATGTGGAACCATCTTTATATAGAGTCTACCAACAGTATCTTATGTCGATCTGTCTTTATATGATGTCTGTCTTTCATTATATGATGTGCAATTACGAATATATTATGTGGAACAATTCTTATATACAGTCAAAACAACACTATATTATGTAGAATCGTCTTTATATAGAGTCAACTTAACAATATATGATGTAAATGTGTCCTTATATGATGTCAATCTTTCATTATACGATGTGCATTAATGAATATATTATGTAGAACCATTCTTATATAGAGTCAAAACAACTGTATATAATGTAGAATCGTCTTTATATAGAGTCAACAAATCGTCAGCAGTTTAGAACCGCCCGGGATTCCCTCAAGTCTTGAGATTTTATCACGTGTACTTAAACTGTTGTGATATAGACGGTCCCCGCCACGAACGGTGGCGTTCAAAAATGACAAAAGCCAGGATATAATGATGTTGCACTTCATATAAAGCAGCGGTCGTGTAATAATAGATTCACATCGTCTTATGAAAGATTGACATAACATATTGATAAGTTGACAGTATATAATGATGCTACCACATAATATATAAATAAATGCACATCATATAATAAAACATTCATATCGTATAATGAAAGATTGACATAATATATTGATAAGTTGACAGTATATAATGATGCTACCACATAATATATAAATAAATGCACATCATATAATAAAACATTCATATCGTATAATGAAAATTGACATAATATATTGAAAAAATGACATTAATTTTATATAATGATGCTACCACATAATATATTCATAAATGCACATCGTATAATGATTGCCGACATCATATTAAGACACATTGACATCATATATTGTTCAGTTGAATTCATATAAGGATGCATCCACATAATATATTCATGAATGCACATTTTATAAAGAAAGAGTGACACAACAACGTTTCATAAGAAAGTCAATGCTTTCCATAAACAAACATGGTCGACATCCACAATAAAATGTCTCATGCTTAGCTCTTTGGCGTTTTTTCAAATATTTTGTTTTGCTTTTCCTATATAATTAAAAGGAAAAGAAATTGCCCATTGGAGCCCAATTTTGACCTCAGGGCTATTATTTGAAAAAAAAAAAAACACAACAACTTTGTAGGAGATGCTAAATATCTGAGCTCTAGGTATTTGACCTTTTCATACGATTTTTAAGTTTTTGCATGGAATTCAATTCTTTAAACAATTTTCAAAGGTGGCGACCGAAGGAACATTCCTGTTAAGTTTGGATGACATTGGCATAGCGGTTTAAGGAGATGTTGTTTAAATAAGTTTAAATAAGTTTACGGAGGGACGACGGACGAATTGCGATCACAAAAGCTCACCATGTCACTCTTGCTCTTTGGTATTTTGAAGATTTTTATATGTTTTTCCTAAATACATTTAAGAAAAATCAATTACCCCCTTGTGGTCAAATTTTGACCCCAGGGCTTATATTTGAACAAACTTGGTTGACATCAACTAGAAGATGTGTGATGCTAAATATAAAAGCTCTAGCTCTTTGAGTATTTGAATTTCTTGTTTTGTTTTTTTACTATATAAAAAATTATAGGGAAAATCAATGACCCCTTGGGCGGGGCCAATTTTGACCTCAGGGCTTTAATATGAACAAGGCAGTCTGAAAGACAGCTAAATTCCCTTTCGCAGCAGACACGAAAATATGTAATTCTTGACCTATTTCCAACCATAACCTTGATGTTGTGCCATAAGCACATTAAATTTTGCTCATCATAAAAGTCTATACAAAAGTCTATTTCAGTTCTTTACCAATTATTTTCCATTTTCAGAAGGATACCTTTGTAGATCATATTATTTTGTTTGAATTGTAGGTCAAGGTTTTGGACTAAGACTTCATATATTGACAAGTTTCTTACGTATTTCGTTGTATCATGCTTAAAGCAAAATTGCTGTTCCATGGATATTTAGTAATAACTTATAATACCGGTACTTTGTCACTTTAAAGCCCTCTGTAGGTGATGATGGTGATCAATTATGCCAATATAATTAAAAAAATTCAGTAGTTAAAAAGTTATGAAGAGGATACAAAATTGTTGACTTTTATCTTTTGACATCTATGTGTGACCTAGACCTCCACACATCATTTCATTATGGTGACCATTTGTGCAACGTCATTTTAAAAACTTTTCAGTATTTAAATAGTTAAGGAATAGACAGGAAAATGTTATAATTTGATCTTTAAGTGTGACCTTGACTTTGGGGGTAGCAACCTGGATTCCCCTCGAGGGAAGCAACCTGCAGATTATGGTGGGGATCATTTGTGCCAAGTAATTTTAAAACCTTTGATTTTTTTGTCAATTACTTATAGAACGGACATGAAAACTAGATGTTTTAACATTGGACATTTGAGTGTGACCCTGACCTTGAGGGTAATGACTTGATTGTTGTGCTCTGCACATGGTGTCATGATGGCAATTATTTCTGCGAAGTTATCTTAAAAACATTGCAGCAGTTTAAATGTAATTGAGCAGACACAAAAAGTAGACATTTAAACACTTGACCTTTAAGTGCGACCTTGACCTTGGGGGTAGCAATTCAATTATTGCACAGTGCACATCTTCTTATAAGGATAATCACTAGTGTTAAGATAATTAAATAAAATTTCAGCGGTTAAAATGTTATGGAGAGGACACAAATTGTAGACTTTTTAACACTTGAAATTAAAGTGTAACCTTGACCTTGGGTGAAGTAACTCAATTAAAGAGCTCTGCACATTGCCTTATAATGGTGATCACTTGTACCAAGTTATTTAAAAAAAATTTCAGTGGTTTAAAAGTTATGGAGCGGACATGAAATGTTGACTTTTTAACATTTGACCATTAAGTGTGACCTTGACCTTATGAGTAGCAACCCAATTATTGGTTATCACTAGAGCCAAGTTGATTAGATTAGCTTTCACTGGTTTAAAAGTTATGTTATTGAGCGGGCACAAAAGTTTTATGTCCTATAATCCCCTCACTGCTTTCTGGAAGGGATTAACAAACTTGGTAGACACCTACTAGAAGATGTTTAATGCTAAATATCTAAGCTTAAGCTGTTTTAGTTGTTTCTTTTTCTTTAAGGAAGATATCTTTTTTTGTTTTTACTAAGTGTGACTTTGACCTTAAACTGAGAAAGGTCAAACCTGCTCTCATTATGGTGAACATTTCTGCCATGCAGTTTTAATTCCCTTCCACTGGTTCTAAAGGTACAGACCAAATACAGAAACCTGCTAACAAACGGGCGGATGGACAGACAACCAGGTGCATAACAATATACGTCAAAATTCTTTCAGGCATATAAAAATATATGTAACAATCTTATCATTTGTATATTTCCTTAAATTTGATTAATTCACATTTACTGTTCACATGTAAAAACCCTTAAATCCCAATATTAACTTATGTCAAAGCTGCATGTATGTTTCTTCAGACTTATGTCTTCAGACAAACTCTATTACATCATTCTAGAAGAGAAATGTAAATTTTGATAACAGCTGGTGTTGATAGCTTCAAAATCTGATGATTTCATCTTCACAATTGTAGGGCAGAATAATGAGGATTCTTGACTTGATCTGAAATCAGCAATCCTTTGCAGTCATCTAAGCAGCATACGGAATTGTTCAATGGAATAAATACTGGATGATAACCTGTGGAAATAAAAAAAATTCTGCTAGTGGGACCTAAAACATGTACCTTATTTGGATTATATGTATTATGCAATATAATATGCATAAAACATAATATAACATGAAGGTCTGAAGATAAAAACTAGAGGGTCATGATGGCCCTGACATCACTCACCTGAGTATTAATACTTTCCATGACAAGGATCAAACTAGAAATGTGTCCATAGGACACGGGTGCCCCCACACTCCACTGTTTTGTCAATCTTATGACTCTACATGTGGGCTACATGTGCAGCAAGTTGAAAACTAACTAGAAATGTGTCATCATGCCACGAATTCCCCCACATGCAGCCAAAATTTCAGATGTTATAATATTTAGTTCCAAATTTGTTTGCACAAATTATTTTTTTCAGTTTAAGTTCAAAGCCCATAAAACTTTTCAGTTTAAGTTCAAAGCCCATAAAACTTTTCAATGTTAACACAAACCATTTCCATACAATGTTCAAGGCACTGAAATTATTCAGTCTTAACCTTTTGAAAATAGCAAATAAATATATATTTCATATTTGTAGCCAAAATAATGGCTACATACATTTCCACAAAAGTATGAGTGCTGAAACTGAAAGTTCAAAATTTTTCAAGAAAGATAAGTTTGTCCAAAATCATTGAACCACGACCAAATTCAAACTAAAACTGCTTATTCCTAAGATGTATCTATATCATTTTCAAAGTGAAAGGGACATAACTCTGCCAAAAAACCATCGAACCATGACCAAATTCCAACTTGATCTGCCCATTCCTTTGACATATCTATATGTTAAATTTGAGTTGAATATGTAACACTGTTGGGTAGATAATGAACAGAAACTGTAAATTTCATTTTCAAAGTGAAAGGGGCTTTACTCTGCCAAAAATCATTGAACCATGACCAAATTCGAACTTGGCCTGGGCATTCCAAAAACAATTTTTATTTTCCATATGTCAAATTTGAGTTGAATGTGTTGTACCGGTGGGGAGGTAATAAACAGAAACTGAAAACTTCATATTATTTTCAAAGTGAAAGGTAAATAACTCTGCCAAAAATCATTGAACCATGACCAAATTTGAACTTGACCTGCGCATTTCTTTGACATATCCATATGTCAAATTTGAGTTGAATGTGTTGTACCGGTGGGGAGATAATAAACAGAAACTGAAAATTTCATATTATTTTCAAAGTAAAAGGGGCATAACTCTGCCAAAAATCATCAAACCATGACTAAATTCGAACTTGACCTGTATTTTATCATGACATATCCGTATGTCAAGTTTGAGTTGAATGTGTTGTACCATTGGGGAGATAATGAACGGAAACTGAAAATTTCATATTATTTTAAAGTAAAAGGGGCATAACTCTGCCAAAAATCATCGAACCATGACCAAATTCGAACTTGACCTGTATTTTCTCATGACATATCCATATGTCAAATTTGAGTTGAATGTGTGCAACCGTTACTAAGATAATGAACGGAAACTGATGATGACGGAATGACAGAATGACGGAATGATGGAAGGATGGAATGACGGAACAGGGTAACACTATATGCCCCGGCCATTACATGGCGGGGGCATAAAAATCTTTTACTGAGTAAAGGGAAAACTTTACAAATACTAACTGTATCCACATGCAAACCCCAAAGTGCATATATCCACAAGCGAACCCAAAGGTGCATCAGTACACATGGTGACCAACATTCTTGTAAACTTTCAGGCCTACATGTCAAATACTTTTTGAGTTATGCATGAACAAGTTGAAAATTGCAAATTTATACTAAGTCAAGGGCAATAACTCTAAGAAAACTGAAACAAGAGGGCCATGATGGCCCTGATGTCGCTCACCTGTATATAGGCCCCCCCGAAGCGGGGCCAGTTTAAACCCCAGGGCTTTTATTTGAACAAACTTGGAATTAAGACACCCATTAGAAGATGTTTCATGATGTTAAGTTTCTGCTATACACATATAAGGAAAAACAATGACTTTCTCTCCCCCCCCCCCTCCCCCCGGCAGAGTTAATTTTAACCCAAGGGCTTTTATTTGAACAAACTTGTTAGACACTCACTAGAAGATGTTTCATGCTTAATATCTAAACTCTAGAAGAAGATGTTACATGCTAAACACCTTACCTCTAGCTCATTGGGTTTTTTAAAAGAAGATTTTTTAAGTTTTTACTATAAACATATAATTAAAAACAATGACACCTCTGGGGCAGGGCCAGATTTGACCCCCAGGGCTTTTATTTGAACAATTTTTGTAGACACTCACTAGAAGATGTTTCATGCTTAATATCTAAACTCTAGCTATTTGGGGTTTTTCAAAAAAGTTTTTTTAAGTTTTTGCTATACACATATAAGGAAAAACAATGACACCCCTGGGGCGGGGCCAGTTTTGACCCCAGGGCTTTTATTTGAACAAACTTTGTAGACACTTATTAGAAGATGTTTCATGCTTAATATCTAAACTATACCTATTTGGGTTTTTTCAAAGAAGATTTTTTAAGTTTTTGCTATACACATATAAGGAAAATCAATGACCCCCGGGGCGGGGCCAATTTTGACCCAAGGGCTTTAATTTGAACAAACTTTGTAGACACTCACTAGAAGATGTTTCATGCTTAATATCTAAACTCTAGCTATTTGGGATTTTTTTGAAGAAGGTTTTTTAAATTTTTGCTACACACATATAAGGAAAATCAATGACCCCCGGGGCGGGGCCAATTTTGACCCCAGGGCTTTTATTTGAACAAACTTGGTAGACACCCATTAGAACATGTTTCATGCTAAATATCTTAGCTCTAGCTCTTTGAGTTCTTTAAAAGAAGATTTTTAAGTTTTTACTATATGCATATAGGGAAAATCAATGACCCCCCTGGTGCGGGGCCAATTTTGACCCCAGGGCTTTTATTTGAACAAACTTGGTAGACACTCACTAAAAGATGTTTCATACTAAATATCTTAGCTCTAGCTCTTTGGGTTCTTTTAAAGAAGATTTTTAAGTTTTTACTATATGCATATAGGGAAAATCAATGACCCCCTGGGGAGGGGCCAATTTTGACTCCAGGGCTTTTATTTGAACAAACTTGGTAGACACTCATTAGAAGATGTGTCATGCTAAATATCTTAGCTCTAGCTCTTTGGGTTCTTTTAAAGAAGATTTTTAAGTTTTTACTATATGCATATAGGGAAAATCAATGACCCCCTGGGGCGGGGCCAATTTTGACCCCAGGCCCCGTGTTCACAAAGATTTAAGGATCAGGATCAAGATCAGGATCAAATTTAAAAACCCTGATATTCTTCATTGTTTATCCTCATGGATAAATATCTGATTATAAATTTGATAAAACTGGACTTGAAATAGCAAGTATATGAAATTTTAGAATAAATTAATTGTTAATTTTGCAAGATATGGGCATTTCACAGTTGATCCAAATATTGATCCTGATCCTAAAATTGATCCTTATTTTGATCCAAATATTTTTGTATTTGTTTTGTTATTTCTTGATTTTATCCCAAAATAGTTTGTTTTCTTTGCAAATCAGCATATTTTTACATTTTGAATATTTACAATTTAATTCAACAAAATACAAATAATTTTAGTAACATTAAACAATGAAAATAAAATCAGGATCACTTGATCCTGATCCTGATATTTTCTTAGTGAACACGGGGCCTGGGCTTCTATTTGAACAAACTTGGTAGACACTCACTAGAAGATGTTTCATGCCAAATATCTAAGCTCTAGCTCTTAGGTTTTTTTTAAAAGAAGACATTTAAAGTTTTTTCTTTCGGTTGCCATGGCAACCAGAGTTCTGCATGGAATTAAATTCTTTGAACAATTTTTAAAGGTGACCACCAAAGGAACATTCCTGTGAAGTTTGGATGAAATTGGCTTCGTGGTTTTTGAATAGATGTCATTTAAAGTAAAAGTTTACGGACGGACGCCGGACGAAAAGCGATCACAAAAGCTCACCCTGTCACTTTGTGACAGGTGAGCTAAAAAAAGTAGTCTGAAGAAAAATTTGAACACAAAGTATCAACTGTGTTCAAAGAAATATTTCAATAATTGTAATCGCAACTGGGGTCTCTAAATAAGCTTGCTATACACCAAGTTTGATTACAATATCTCATTCCTAACTCTAGTTATTGTCCGGAAACCATTGTTCTATTTTTAGTAACACTGTAATGGTGACCTTGACCCCAGGGGGTCCAAATGCAATACCAACCCAGGTCTTCATATAAGCATCCTATACATCAAATTAGATTACAATATCTCATTCCTAACTCTAGTTATTGTCCGGAAACCATTTATCTATATTTCCTAACGGTGACCTTGACCTTCACCCCCCAGGGCCCAAATGAAATACCAACCGAGGCCTTCATATAAGCTTGCTATACGCCACGTTTAATAACAATATCTCATTCCTAACTCAAGTTATTGTCCGGAAACCATTTTTCTATTTTTAGTAACGGTGATCTTGACCCCAGGGGGTCCAAATGTAATATCAACCCAGGTCTTCATATAAGCTTGCTATACACCAAGTTTGATTACAGTATCTTATTCCTAAGTCAAGTTATTGTCTGGAAACCATTTTTCTATTTTTCGTAAAGGTGACCTTGACCTTGACCCCAGGGGGCCCAAATGCAATACCAAGCCAGGTCTTCATATAAGCTTGCTATACGCTAAGTTTGATAACATATCTCATTCCTAACTCTAGTAATTGTCCGGAAACCATTTTTCTATTTTTAGTAACGGTGACCTTGACCTTGACCCCAGGGGGTCCAAATGCAATACCAACCCAGGTCTTCATATAAGCTTGCTATACACCAAGTTTGATTACAGTGTCTCATTCCTAAGTCAAGTTATTGTCTGGAAACAATCTTTCTATTTTTCGTTACAGTGACCTTGACCCCAGGGGGCCCAAATGCAATACCAACCAAGGTCTTCATATAAGCTTGCTATACGCCAAGTTTGGTAACAATATCTCATTCCTAACTCTAGTTATTGTCCGGAAACCATTTATCTATTTTTCCTAACAGTGACCTTGACCTTGACCCCCAGGGGGCCAAAATGCAATACCAACCTAGGTATTCATATTAGCTTGCTAAACGCCAAGTTTGATAAAAATATCTCATTCCTAACTCTAGTTATTGTCCGGAAACCATTTTTCTATTTTTAGTAACGGTGATCTTGACCCCAGGGGGTCCAAATGCAATACCAACCCAGGTCTTCATATAAGCTTGCTATACCCCAAGTTTGATTACAGTATCTCATTCCTAACTCTAGTTATTGTCTGGAAACCATTTTTCTATTTTTCGTAACGGTGACCTTTACCTTGACCCTAGGGGGCCCAAATGCAATACCAACCCAGGTCTTCATATAAGCTTGCTATACCCCAAGTTTGATAACAATATCTCATTCCTAACTCTAGTTATTGTCCGGAAACCATTTTTCTATTTTTAGTAATGGTGACCTTGACCTTGACCCCAGGGGGTCCAAATACAATACCAACCCAGGTCTTCATATAAGCTTGCTATACGCCAAGTTTGATAACAATATCTCATTCCTAACTCTTAGTTATTGTCCGGAAACCATTGTTCTATTTATATCAACGATGACCTTGATCCCAAGGGGTCCAACTACAATATACCAACCAGGGTTTCCGCATAAGGTTGCTATATACAAAGTTTGATTACAATACCTCATTCCAAACTCTAGTTATCGTCCAGAAACCATTATATGGACCGACTGACCGACCGACAAGCTGACTCTTATATACCCCCCCTAAACTTCGTTTGTGGGGGTATAACAATCTTGGTAGAGGTCTACCAGACAATGCCTAATGCAAAATATCTAAGCTCTAGGCCTTTTGGGTCTTTACAAGAAGATTTTTTAAATTTATTCTTATAATTCCTTTTGGTTGCCATGGCAACCAGATTTCTGCATGGGAACAACTTTGGAAGCCCTTCACCCAAGGATCAATTCTGCCAAGTTTGGTTGAAATTGGACTAGTGGTTTTTCACAAGAAGATTTTTTAAGTTCACTATATAATCTATAGAACACACAAACACACACACAGGTGAATCGCTATATGCCACCGCATGGCAGATGTTGTGGTGGCATAAAACAAAGAACATATATGCATTGCCACGGGAGGGCTTTTGTCCACCATGTTATTTTCATGAGAGGGCTATTTCGGGACGGGAGAGCTTTTTTCCTACACTCAACCTGCATAGATAAAAAGCACCTGACCATTAACTGGTAATTGAACATGAGACACCTTTTGAGATTTTATTTTAATCTACATCGAAATACACAGAAAGTTGACACTTAAAACTTCTTTTCAATTTTAAGAGGATTTTCTATGCATGAAAATCATTTATGCATTTTTAGTAGCCACAGAATATCGTCCGGTTTTCGGAATTCGGAGGTTCCGGTATTTAAAGGATTTTTTCGATGAATTTATATGGAGAAAATAAGGGACTTTTAAAATCTTCCGGTTTTCAGAGGATTCTGGTTTTCAGAGGGTCTGATGTTCAGAGTTTTACAGTATATTTCATACTAATTGTGAAATGAACCCTACATGATGAAGAAAAAATATGCCTAGAGATATTGACGTTGGGTATAACATGACGTTAATTTAAATGATTTTACCATTATATTATATAAACAAGAACTGTCAAGCAAGTGACAAAAGGCACCCCCCCTCACCACAGAAAATGTCAAAAATGCTTCTTAAGCACTCAGGTATTATGAAAGGACAAGAGCTGTCACACAAGTGACGAATGCCCCTCAAAAGGTTTTTTAAGCATGCAGGTATTATGAAAATAAAGAGAATGAAAGTAACTTGTTCTTGTAAAATGAAGTGCTACTTATAGCAAACTTAACACCTTGGGACAAGGGTCTTGCAACGTGACACAACATCTTAATGTGGTAGACATTTATGCCAAGTTATTTTAAAATCCTTCAATACATGACAATGTTACAGTTTGGAAACTAATATGTACCTTCAAACTCTTCTTATGAGCATAAGTACCTTCAAACTATAAGTGTGACCTTGACCTTGGACGTTGGAACATGGGTCTTACACATAACATGTCATCTTAATGCGGTAAACATTTGTTCCAAGTTATTTTAAAATCCTTCGCGGAAACAATTATTGCTCTATTAGCATACTGCATAACTAATCATGGGCCATAACTCTGAGTTAAAGGGTCTGGCGGGAACAAGGCAACAATATGCACACCTCCTCTTGGTATTGAAGGTTCCCATAAAGTTTTGTTAAATTCCATCCAGTAGTTGCTGAGAAGTTGTGCAGAAACGATTATTGCTCTATATGCATATTGCATTACTATAATCAAGGGCTATAACTGGTGAGTTAAAGGGTCTGGCCGGAACAAGGTGATGATATGCCAATCTCCTCTTGGTTTTGAAGGTTCCCATAAAGTTTCATTGAATTCCAGCCAGTAGTTGCAGAGAACTAGTGCAGAAACATATTTGGACAGACGGAAATGCCACTGAAATGGACTCAGGAGCCATTTCGTTTGTTATTTTCTTTTGTTTAATAGAGGGCCATTTCTATAATTACGGAATGGACTCTATTGTTCTCTTTTGTTCTGTTTACTATTACATTGCCCCTTACTTCTCTAAATAGCACAGACTTACAGAAGGAAGGACAATGCCAAAACAATATCCCCCCTCTCGATTCCATCGGCAGGGGATAACAAAAGTTATTGACTAGAAAACTTTTTTCTACTTTTAGTATCCTAGGGGTCCAAAAACAATCCCAAGTGAGTTCTCCACATAAGTTTGCTATATACTCAAATTGAATACCTCATCCCCACCTTTAGTTAACAACTTGTAAACCACCTTCAATGTCCAACTGCCATAAGTCAATCTAGTAAACTAGCATTTTCAAAACTGAAACACTGAAGATGGATCTTTACAACTGCCTGATTGATAATTCAATACAAACAATACACACTGAATAATCTTGTAAAACTAGAACTGCCACTATCATGGCGTGAATACCCCCGCATACCACTTTGTCAGAATCAACAGTGGCCATTTAGAGCTCAAGGACAACCTCCCTGCCAAATCTGAGGTTACTAAGCCAGTGCATTGCTAAGTTATGTATTCTACATGCTTCAAATGTGAAAATGTCAAAATCAATACATTGCAGACAGGACATTCTTAGGCAATTGAGAAGAAAAGCTTTTTTTTGTCAAGGTCCCTGTGACCTTGACCTTTGACCCAGTGACCTCAAAATCAATAGGGGTCACCTTATAGTCATGATCAACATCCATGCCAAATATGAAGGCTGTGGGTCAAAGGAATCTTAAGTTAATGGGTGGACAAACTTTTTGAAGTCAAAGTCCCTGTGACCTTGACCTTTGATCCAGTGACCTCAAAATCAAAAGTGGTCATCTATTAATCATGATTAACATCCATGCCAAATATGAAGACTGTGGGTCAAAGGAATCTAAAGTTAATGGTTGGACAAACTTTTTGAAGTCAAAGTCCCTGTGACCTTGACCTTTGACCTGGTGACCTCAAAATCAATAGGGGTCATCTACTAATCATGATCAACATCCATGCCAAATATGAAGACTGTGGGTCAAAGGAATCTTAAGTTATAGGGCGGACAAGCTTTTTGAAGTCAAAGTCCCTGTGACCTTGACCTTTGACCTGGTGACCTCAAAGTCAATAGGGGTCATCTACTAATCATGATCAACATCCATGCCAAATATGAAGACTGTGGGTCAAAGGAATCTTAAGTTATAGGGCGTACAAGCTTTTTGAAGTCAAAGTCCCTGTGACCTTGACCTTTGACCTGGTGACCTCAAAATCAATAGGGGTCATCTACTAATCATGATCAACATCCATGCCAAATATGAAGACTGTGGGTCAAAGGAATCTTAAGTTATAGGGCGGACAAGCTTTTTGAAGTCAAAGTCCCTGTGACCTTGACCTTTGACCTGGTGACCTCAAAGTCAATAGGGGTCATCTACTAATCATGACTAACCTCCATGCCAAATATGAAGACTGTGGGTCAAAGGAATCTTAAGTTATTGGGCGGACAAGCTTTTTGAAGTCAAGGCCCCTGTGACCTTGACCTTTGACCTGGTGACCTCAAAGTCAATAGGGGTCATCTTCTAATCATGACTTGCCTCTATGCCAAATATGAAGACTGTGGGTCAAAGGAATCTTAAGTTATTGGGCGGACAAGCTTTTTGAAGTCAAGGCCCCTGTGACCTTGACCTTTGACCTGGTGACCTCAAAATCAATAGGGGTCATCTACTTATCATGACTAACCTCCATGCCAAATATGAAGACTGTAGGTCAAAGGAATCTTAAGTTATTGGGCGGACAAGAAAAAACCGACGGACGGCCGGACGGACGGACAGACGGACTGACGGACGGACAAGCTGATTCCAGTATACCCCCCTTCAACTTTGTTGTGCGGGGGTATAACAAAAGATAACAATATTTACCTGCCAAATGCATTAAACAGTGCAACAATTTCTGTTCTTCTAAGTTGGAATTTGTTTTTTAATCCAGCTTTAACAATTGACTGTGGTCCCATTCCATCTCCAGAAAACAAAATTTTTAAAGCAGTTCCCATACCTTGAACCTGTAATCAGATTGAAGCATGCATTTTATCACTCTTTGTTGTTAAATTGTTGTTTGTTTGTTTTTTAATTGTATTTTTAGTTAGGTTAGAGAGTTATGATTCTCGTGCACTGCACATCTACCCATTGAGATACATCTACCTACAAAGTTTCATGTTGATATCTCTTATAGTTTTACAGCTATGTCCAGTACAAGATTTTTCTAAAAGGGGAGATAATTCAAAAATGAGGCTTAACAGAGTTATGGTTTTTTTGCACTGCACTTCTACTCAATGAGATCTATCTACCTACAATGTTTCATCTTGATATCTCTTATAATTTTAGAGTTATGTTCCGGACAAAGTTCAGTGTTAAAATTAACAAAGGGCAATAACTCCAAAATTGGGACAAAAAGAGTTATTGTTCTTATGCACTGCACATCTACCCATTGAGATCTATTCACCTACAAAGTTTCATGTTGATATCTCTTATAGTTTTAGAGTTATGCCCCAGACAAAGTTCAAAGTGTTGAAATTAACAAAGGGCAATAACTCCAAAATTAGGACAAAAAGAGTTATTGTTCTTATGCACTGCACATCTACCCATTGAGATCTATTCACCTACAAAGTTTCATGTTGATATCTCTTATAGTTTTAGAGTTATGCCCCGGACAAGATTTTTCTATAAGGGGAGATAATTCAAAAACCGGGCAAAATAGAGTTATGGTTCTTTGACACTGCACTCCCCCTCAATGCCCTCTACCACTGTATGAAGTTTAAACAAATTATCTCCAAGGGTTTTCAAGTTATGCTTCGGACAAGAAAATGGACGGACGTACCAAAATTTGATGTTTATGAGACAAATGAGCTCATAAAACCACCTGGACCAACGTCCATAAGCAAAATAAGCTCATAAAAGCAAAAAAATAGCTCTTAATTTGAATTTTATGAGTTTATGTTCTTTATTTAACTACGGAATGAAGCTCATAATAATCAAATGTTGGCTCGGACAGACGGACGGACAAGGCGCCGACTATATGCTCCCCCGAAATTTTTCGGGGAGCATAAAAAAGTGCTGTGCACAAGAACCAGTACTCTGCATTTCTTATTTTTGAGTTATTGCCATTTGTTCATTTTCATACTTTATTTTTGTCCGAGCCATTTCTCCTAAAGTATAAAAGCTATGGACTTGAAACTTCATAGGATGATAGATCTCATTAAGAAGAAGTGCAGTGCACAAGAACCTGTACTCTGCATTTCTTAGATTTTGAGTTATTGCCCTTTGTTAATTTTCATACTTTATTTTTGTCAAGGCCATTTCTCATAAATTATAAAAGCTATAGACTTGAAACTTCATAGGATGATAGATCTTATTGATAAGAAGTGCATTGCACAGAAAATGCTGCTCTGCACTTCTTATTTTTTGAGTTATTGCCCTTTGTTAATTTTCATATTTCATTTTTGTCCCGGCCATTTCTCCTAAACTATATTGTTCACAAGGCGACACATCAGACTCACAGAGTTCTTGTTTCAATGGTGCCATGTTTTCTATAATTTATATAATTATATACAAGCGGTCCAGTGCTAGGGAATGTCAAATGTATGCTCTATGCCATATATTTTAACAGAAAGATTTAAATGTGTTTTCTTATAAGTCTATGTTACTTGCACAATTTTGAACATAGGGTTATGATTTAAAAAAAAACAAAAAAAAAACAAGATTGCATTTGAGAAAAAATGCTATTCCACCGCATTAATACAACACTAAATAGTAGTGTAGGAACAGATTTTTTTTGTTTATATTTTTGAAGATTGTCATAATGCATAGATCTCTGACCTGTCTAATTCTTATTATCAGATTAGTGGTTAAATCTATTGTTAATCCAATAAAAGATAAGAGTAGGAATATATCAATGCACTTGAGTCTAGTGAATTTGGTGGTGAAGGTCATATTTCACACAGCCTAAATTTCATGACTACATCAAAGGACAACACAGTAAGACACTTTGTCCAAATCTGCAGGTCAGCTAATATCAAAGTTCACTTTACATCTTAATCTGTGCACATGGTTCAAATTTCATAGCTGTACATCAAAGGACAAGAAAGTAGGTCACATCATCAAAATCTAGGTCACCTGATATCAAAGTTCAATTTTACAACTAAAACTGTGCACATGGTCAAAATTTCATTGATGTACATCAAAGGACATGAAAGCAGGTCACTCTCCCCTTGGGCAAGGCAAAATTTTTGACCCAAGGGTTTAATTCAAAACAATCTTGATACAGGTCCACCAAACAACATTTTAAGTCAAATATCTAAGCTGTAGCTTGCTCCCATTCAGAAAACATTTGTTTTATTTTCTGTTTTTAGTATGTGTACATAATGAGAATCAATGCATCCCGGCAGGGCCAATTTTGACACCGGGGGAAAAATTTGAACAACTTTGGTATAGGACCTATAGATGATATTATATAGCAAACATCAAAGCTCTATGCCTTGTACCTTCAGACAAATTTTTATTTTTTATTTTTCTTCTATATGTACATAATGAAAATCCATGACCCCTGGGGCAGAACCAATTTTGACCCCAGGGCTATAATTTGAACAATCTTGGTAAAGGTTCACTTCGCAAAGTCTCATGCCATATATTTAACCTCTAGCCTTTGTCAATTCAGAGAAGAAGATTTTTCAATTCAGAGAAGAAGATTTTTCAGGTTTTTACTTTATACATATAAGGAAAGCTATCGCCTCTGGGGCATAATTTTAACAACTTTGGTAGAGGACCCATAGGTGATATTATATACCAAATATCAAAGCTCTAAGCCTTGTACCTTCAGAAAAGAAGATTTTTTAATTTTTTACTATATGTACATAGTGAAAATCAATGACTCCTGGGTGTGGGGCCAATTTTGACCCCAGGGCTATAATTTGTACAATCTTGCTAGAGGTTCACTACATTATGTTTCATGCAAAATATCTGAACTCTAGCCTTTGTAAATTTAGAGAAGATGACTTTTTTAAGTTTTTACTATATACATGCAAGGAAAACCTATGGGGCTAATTTAGACACTAGAGGCAAAATTTGAACAACTTTGGAAGAGTACCTATAGATGATATCATTTAACAAATATTAAAGCTCTAAGCCTTGTACCTTCAGACAATAAGATTTTTTGATTTTTTACTATATGTATAAATTGAAAATCAATGACCCCCGGGGCGGGGGCAATTTTGACCCCAGGGCTATAATTTGAGGTTCACTACACAATGTTTCATGCCAAATATCTAACCTCTAGCATTTGTCAATTGCTTGAAGAAATTTTTTTAAAGTTTTTACTTTAAGTTTTTACTAAATACATATAAGGAAAACCATTGACCCCCGATTTTGAGCCCAGGACTATAATTTGAATAATCTGGGTAAAGAAGGTATTTTAAGTTTTTACTATATGTACATATAGTGAAAATCAATGACCCCCCCGGGGCGAGGCCGATTTTGACCCCAGGGTTATAATTTGAACAATATTGGTAAGGGTCTACCAGACAATGCCTTATGCAAAATATCTAAGCTCTAGGCCTTTTGGGTCTTTACAAGAAGGTATTTTAAGTTTTTACTATATATGTACATGTAGTGAAAATCAATGACCCCCGGGGCGGGGCCGATTTTGACCCCAGGGCTATAATTTGAACAATCTTGGTAGTGGTCTAAAAGACAATGCCTAATGCAAAATATCTAAGCTCTAGGCCTTTTGGGTCTTTACAAGAAGATTTTTTAAATTTATTCTTATAATTCCTTTTGGTTGCCATGGCAACCAGATTTCCCCATGGAATGAAATTCTTTGAACAACTTTGGAAGCCCTTCACCCAAGGATCAATCCTGCCAAGTTTGGTTGAAATTGGACTAGTGGTTTTTCACAAGAAGATTTTTAAAGTTCACTATATAATCTATAGAACACACACACACGCACACACACACAAACACACACACACACAGGTGAATCGCTATATGCCACTGCATCGCAGATGCTGCAGTGGCATAAAAATCAACTACCCATGCAGTGGGGCCAATTTTGACCCCAAGGCTTTTATTTGAACAACCTTAGTGGTAGACACTAAATACTGCTAAATATCTAAACCCTAGCTCTTTGGGGTTTTTAAAAGAATATTTCCTAAGTTTTAACTATATACATATGAGGAAAACCAATGTCCCCAAGGGTGGGGCTAATTTTAATGGCTTTTATTTGAACAAACTTGGTAGACACTCACTAGGAATGCTAAATGCTAAATATCTAAGCTATGGCTAAGCTTTGGAAAATCAATGACCCCCCTGGGGTGGGGCCAATTTTGAGAACAGGGATTTTATTTGAACAACCTTGGTAGATACTCACTAGAAGATGTTTCATGCTAAATTCTTAAGCACCAGCTCTTTGAGTTTTGTTTTTTTTTTAAAGATTTTTTAAGTTTTTGCTATATACATGTAAGAAAAATCTATCTTTAAGTTTTTACTTTTCAGATATGGAAAATCAATAACCCCTTTGGAGGGACAAATTTTGACCCCATGGCTTTTTATTTAACAAACTTCATAGACACTTGCTAGAAGATGTTTCAGCTTAATATCAAAGCTTTAGCTCTTTGTTTTTTTTTAAAGAAGATTTTTTAAGTCTTTACTACATTAAACCTTTTCCCTCATATAGATGTGTTTTGACGGCATTTTGCACCCCCCCCCCCACTTTTGAGGCCTCAAACAGTGAAAAAATGCCCTATTTAGATCCTAAACACTGTTTTTTGTTTCAGAAATGTTGTTTAAAAATGTGACTACTTTTCCGTGCCCCCCCCCACCAAAATGGTACATCAGGGGGTTGCCAGAAGGGAGATGTGCCCCCTTCTGTTAGGAGGGTTTGAAGGGGCTGGTAGTCCCCCTCATCGCCAAGAAAATTTTGGACATGTTGGAAAAAAACAATGCAAAATAGTGATTTTTCGCAATTTTGAGACGTCCCCCAATTGCAATGGTAACAGGAAATTTACAATTG